ATTTCCAAAGAAAATAGCTTGGATCTTCACAGCTGGTAGAACAGCTACACTCCAGCTTACACAACAGCATCAGTCAGAACAGAGTGCCCCTGTTTTCCTCTCTGGATACTAGTATCAAAACCTATTTTGGAAAAGTGTTACTGGCTGATTGTACAGTTCAACTGCCTAGAAACACTACAGGGGCAGGGAGCAACAAAAATTACTAATCCCAATGCAGGGTAGGAAACCAGCAATGGAATATATCGAAGTGTTACCTTGCTTTTGTGAACCATGTCTCCTCCACAGGAGCAAGACACTTAGAAATGTGTATATTTAGATATGAAAACAGATACCAAAATATAATATACCAGTTTCATAAACAACGACAACAAAAGCTAAAAACCCAGGACTTAAATTATTTGGACAGAAATTTTATCTGTAGAGTATTGCATGCAAAACCAGGAGCAATGCTGGTAGTGGAAAGTGGGTCTTCATTCTGGAGCTGTGTTTCTCTCAGGAATATAAGTTTAACAAAACTACAAATGCTAAAAACATTAACAGGGTTTTGCCAAACATCCACAGCTCCTGCAGCACAATTACCATCAGCAGCACAATACCCACCAGCTTGGCTTTTACCATAATGAAACAGCAAGAAGATTCAGGAGTAGCACAGTTTTCATACCTCTCCTTTACGAGTCCAGCTACTCAAACACCATTTCCAAATTTGCTGCCTCCCATTCTAAGAGGACCTGTGTGAATTTACTGGGAGAGCAAGGAGAAGTGGAACTCTCTTCTCTGAGCCTCGTCCAGTGCAGCAGTGTGTCCTAATAACATGTCAGTTGTTCTGCCTTTCACTATCCAGCCATGTTGCTATGTAGCTGGTTCTGGAAAGGACATTGATAAATCAGGAAAGATTACTGTGGGAACCACAATAAAGTTTAAGTGAAGGATATGCCACAGAATGAAAGAACACAAACTTAAAGTTGTAATTGAGAAGGTTCTGAAGCAATTTGTGGACAGTCTAAAAATATATACATAACATGCTCACTTCGATAAAAATCTCCTCAGTTTTGTCTCAGGAAGGTGTAAAACATTTTAATCTTGGTGCACAGAGCATGTGTAGCAGATCTGCATGCTCCTAAACAAGAAGTGATGGAGAAGACTCTCATATTCAATTGTGTGGGAATTATCTGTTGAAAGAACAAAACAGGATTGTAGGGAGTTTTCTGTTGTTATCTGGCTCACCAAGTGAAAAAATATTATTTCCTAGGAGATGAGGAGGAATAAAAACTTTTAAAATTGCATTAAAAGGGACTATTGCTGTTACACATTCCCCATATGTTAAACTAATGAGACTATCTTTACAGCTGCCCACACCAGTTGCCAGCAATATTTTCTGCTTCAGGCTAGGCAAGACTTTCAGCTGACACTTACATTTTACATCTCGATATAAAAACTGCTGGTTTTAGTTGCACAGGATCTAAGCAATATTTCCAAGACATAGGAATATGGCACCCTCCACTAAAGGGATATGAAGAAAAGTCTTCCATGGTTCCCCTAGAAAACAGAGCAGAAGCAGACATGGTGCCACTAAAACAATAGGTATCCACTTACTGTTGGATTTAATCCCTGCCATATGTACCTTTTCCAACAGGATATCTGCAGATCTGGACTGTGGAGCCGTGGGAACAGACTCATGAAAAGACAAATTGTAGTCAGTTCAGTTCACAGCACAGGTGAAGTACTAATCCAGGATGGCTCTTTAGGAGTAAATGCAGCTCTAATGGTGTGGCAGAAAGGTCCAGAAGGACTTTACTGGGTCTATTTTGACTGGATATTGAGGAAATGTACCAACAAATCACATCCAGCCACCACTGAATTCTGCAATACTCCAACAATTTTTTCCCTATAAAATGGTTCCTGAGTGAACAATTATTTGAACTATGACAGTACATCAAAATAGGAGTTTAAGAAAGGAACCATACCCTTTATGAGGTACTAAAGAACTGTGCATCAAGAGAATCCAAAGTATTGGAAAAACAAACAGAAGCTCAGGCACAGAAACCGAACAGAAGACTAACATTTGTCTTTTGTCAGCATGGTGTCTCTTAGCTGCTGATCCTGCTTTGTAAATCACACTTCCATACCAGCTAGAGCCCTGGGATCAATAATTAAATAGCTTTGGATGGTACTTATTACAAAAAGAGAGTAGGGAACAAATATTTCTAGAACTGACAAAAGGAACGACTCTTCCCTGGTCTTACTGAGTGACCTCAATGTTCACATGCCTGTTTAATAATTTAAAATATTCCAACAGATAAAGGATGAATGGAAATGAAACCTTATTTCTCATTTTCTAACCGTGGCATTCTGCTCGATCAACCAAGCAAAGGGGCAAGGGGTGTAAACCAGAAAGAACCAAGGGAATGAAACTGTTAAAGGAGCTTCAGTCTTTCTTTAGCAATCTTTAAGGACAATATCTTTAAGCACATGCATATCAATAGTCAATACACTGGAGTGCCCATAGCCCAGGGCTAAATGAGAGCCTCTAACCAGCAATTCTCAAGACCACAGTCAAATAACTCACTTAGAATAAGAACACTAGGCTTCTGTACACCAGAGAGTCACCAGGGAAATCACTAGTGCACAGCATGGAGCACAACACCTCAGAAGTTAGTTTAGCCCAAAGCCATTTTGGAATATTTATTATTTGGGAAACCAGCTGCAGCACAGAGGAAAGATTTAGAATTATCTGCTGATGCACATGCAGGAGGTGTAATTTGTCTGCCTTTAAAAGTCTTCATAAATTTAATGAACTAAAAAACAGTTGGACCTGATTTATAGAGCATACGGTAGAAACAAAGCAGAATTCATCAACGTATGGAAGCCAGGCTGGTAGGTCAGTCAGAATGACACAAGATGTAAAGTGACAGTGTTCTTCCTAAAAATAACCAGGATTTTTTTTCCTTCTATAATTATTTTGATTTTAGACTAAAGACATGACAAATGGCTCACTAAAGCCTTTTTCAAGTTTTCACTGTGAAGATCTGCTTTTTCTTGCCATTTGCCCTGACACAGGCAATTAGGATTCTGTAACCTTGTTGGTCATTACAAGAATCAGGACTAACAAGGTAATTTGGATCATCTGTGTTTCTCAGGTGCAGACAATCTTGATGAGCCCTCGACACAGGGGCAGCAACTCCTTTGAACCCAGGTGCAGCTGCCAGAGCTTCATGAGCAGAAAATGGCCGTACCTGTGGGGTTTTGCTCCACTCACAGTATATGAACATCTCATGCACATTTGATCAGCCTAGATTTATATCTGTAGCATTTGTTGGGGCTCCATGACTTGAAGTGCATGGTAAGGCATCCAGAGCACCAGTCAAGGTGCTCTTAATTTCTGAAAAAGTTAAAAGCTCAGCTCTTTCCATTTTCTTTAGCCTTTTAAGAACCTTTCACTGCAGCACTATTCTAGGAAGGAATAAAAAAAGAAATAGGAGCAGGTTTTGTCTGCTGTTCTCTTTCCAGTCTCTGGCCAACTCTAGGGACAGATCTAAAGCTCAGAGAGCTGCTGCTGGAACATGGATCATAAGAAAAATGACAAGTAATAAGATTCTTGGGCTTGAGTAGGAGGCTCCATATGTGCTTTTCTGCAGTGTCCAACATTACAAATCACTTCTGTCCTTCTGACCTTTCTTAGAATTAGAGAATCATAGAATGGTTCTCTAAGGTCTCCCTGAAATCTTCTCCAGTCTGCACACTCCTCATTCTCTCCCTGTGTTCATAGGAAAGCTGCTCCAGCCCTCTGATCATCTCCGTGACCTTGTCCGGGGTGTGCTTGTCAAACACCTGTGATACTACTGAGACATTTTAGAAGCAGGGAAATTAGCTGTGCATAAAAATAATAACTTGCCTACTGCAAGTTACCCAGATAGGAGAAAAAGCATCATCTGGACAACAATCCTATTCCAAATGTGGTATCATGCAGACCATTTAGACTGTACTTGAATTGCATCTAATTAGTAATTTGACCAAGTTAAAAAAAATATACACTTAAAGCCACTTTGGTTTTATAAGGTTAATGTACTGGTAATGCAGTCTTCTGCTCTCACTTTCATATGTGGGAGAAGCTGTGAGGAAGTAAACCCCACATTTGAGAAGTTCCTCTACACTTAAGATACATAGCATCTTGGTTTTGGACCCTCCAAATGCTGTTCTTCTGAATAAAATTAATCCAAACCTTTGTAATCCAATAATACAGGGCATAGAAGGGTAACACAAATCTGTCTCCACAAACACTTGCAAGCATGTCAGCACAGATGGGAAACGAAGACTCCAGTGGAATTTCTGGGAGATGCTCAATCCAGTCAGTAACTCTAGTGCTTGTATGGAGAAACAAAAATGTATTTTTCACTCATGACTTCATCTGCTTTCTTATGACAACCATCCATGAGAACACATTCCAAGTAGACTCATTCAAGGCTTGTTCAAGTGCCCAGGAAGTCCTATGTGGTTACAAAAGCTGCCACCAAATGAGGGGCTTGTGTCCAGCAACCACAAACGATTCCCAGCCAGGCAGAAGCCCTTCAGCATGGATCAAAATCCAGACTTTTGAAACCAGCTGACAGGAATGCACAGTAGGACAGAGTTACTATCCAAATACAACTTTATTGATTAAACACTAATTAAAACACCAACTAAACACAGGACAAAGACACTTCAGAGACTGCAGTGTGAGCTAGGCATTAAACACATCTTTAGGGATTTCTACAAAAAGGGATGGGCAGTCATGACAACCCATTTTCTCTGGGAAACTGCTCAGCCACAGACCAGCTCACATAGCAGGCTCAGGAGGTTATCTGTGCACTGCTGCATTAGCAACATTCTTTAGCAAGTCCTGTGTGAAGCATTGCAGAAACAACCACAGTCACTGTCCATGCTTATGTCTGAAAGCAAAAATAAATAAGAATCTAACAGCAAATTCTTCAGTGTAATACAAAAAGTACTTGTCCTCCATGAAATCACAGGAAGTTATCCAAGCGGAAGGTCTCTCCCAGTGCAATTAATGATTCATAAAGTCGGTCTTGGCGGCAGCTGTCAAACATGTCACTTACTTCCTCTCTTAACTCCTTCAGCAGAGGCACTGTGGCCTTACCATCTGCATTCAGAATTCTCCCCAAAAGTTTACTCCAGAAATCACTGGCAACAGCCCTAAAACAAAGAGCAGTTTTCAGTGGGACAGTGTGCACACATGACATGTCTGTCAAGATTTCTATTTACATTCAGCACTAAATGCCCTTGGAAAACCAAGTGTGAAATAGTAACTTCACCCACATAAGTGAATGTGCTGTGAAGTTTATATATATGGGCCTCTTTCTTCAGTGGAATTTTGGCTAGTAACTAGACTGGCTGTTCCAGTTTATCAAAGCCACTGTTTTACAGTTATCTCTTTAATGTACCTGACCATCATCACCATCATCATTGAGCCACAGCACTTTTGAATTGAAGGAGTTCTCAAGAGCATTCTTTGAAACAACAAAGTTGGCCCATTCCTTTCATGAATGAGGGGTAGAGGTAAAACTTGCAAATGGGGGAATAAGGTAAGTTCACAGGTCAATATGAAAGGAAGGCTGCAAGAGAAATACTAAAATGTGAATGGTTTACAGCCAGTTTTACTTCATTTTTCCCCACCTTCCATCTGCCAGAATTCTCATATAACATTTAAAGATAATTAATAGTAATAAGTTTCCTCTCTCAGATATACCCACAAAACATAATTAAAAAGATTGACTCATTAAAGTCTCAGAAACCTGCCATCAGAGCTAACCCTTTACTCTTCAGTCTTGCACAGTCCACAATGCTTCTGACTCCTGAAGCCCTTTTCTCCCTCAGCTAGGAGTGACTTTGTCTTTTGGACAAATTATCTGGCTCTGCTGTGACTCTCAAACTAGCAGAAGGAAGGAATCTGGTCTGTTCTATTACTCTAGTAACTCTTTATTTTCTAAAACAATGAAGTCACACAGAACCTAACAAAAAAAAGTTATATATATATACTGCAAGACTCCAGGCCATTTTCTTCATGGACAAGAGGCAGAGCAAAGGAGGTTACATGTTGATAAGGACGTTTCAGGAGTTTTGAGTGATAAAAATAGCCCTAAAAATTCAAACAAGGCTCCTATGGGGTACCTCACAAAAGCCTGACCCATCCCCTCCAAACTCCCCATAACAGCCAGCTCTATCCTTCCAAACTCAGACTTTGCTGTACCTGCTGCTCAGCTCCCTCTGCTCCTTATCCAGTCAGTTACTGCCATTTTTACCATACCCACATCCTGATGAGGTCCCCAACACCTCCTTCCTACCTTCTCAACTCAGGCCTTGTATGACTTCAACTACAGTAGCTCAATTTAATCTCTTGTAGAATTAAAAATTAGTAATAAAAATCTAAGTTAAAAAGGCGACACTTATCAGAAACCTGTCCCTCTCTTCCTACAGAATATTGTTAAAAACAGATCATGTTTTGATAGAAATTGATATACAAGAGTTCTACTTTTCAGAGCAGGTCAGATTTACCTAGCTCAAAGACAGGTAATGTTGCAATATCTGTCAGTGGGCAGCACAAACCATTCTCATATATGACTTAGTTGCCTTTTTCTCATATTTCTGAAACAAAGGCAGTATAAGATACTTATTCACTGCCAACCCATAGATTGCTGATATTTATCTCTTCAGAGAACAATCACCCTTGGTGATTTTCTTCTTCACAGTCTAGTCTTGGAAGTTGACCCTCTGAAGGGAAAACAAAAGCTCCAGGGTACAGCCTGGCATGCATGGGGAATACTCAGCAGCAGCTGCTGCAGCCTGGACACTACTGGTATCAGCCTGTAACACAGAGAAAGATACATGCCAAGGAAAGAAAAATGTGCTTTTCCCCTGTACACAGCTTATGATGGTAAGATGTTTTTCAAGGGTTGAATACAGTAAACTAGGAGGTACAAGGCAGGTTGCTAGGGAACTGGGCAACTCCCAGGCTGGCAGCAGGCTTTCTTGGAGCAGTGGTTATAGAAGCACATCCACACAGGCAGTGGAGCTGACACACCACGGCCCTGGATGCTGACATCTGCCAAGTCACTTCTGTCATGAGCAGAGAGCTCTGGAAAATCCTTTTGTGAAATGCTAAGGCATAACATTCTGCAGGATGCAACTGATAAAGCAAACAAGTGTTTAGTCTCAGAGCAAAGGGTAGATGACAGCAGAGTAAGTTGTTTTAGAGCCAAAACACAAGGCTAGAAGAGAGCACTGGAAATCAATAATTAAAAAAAAGAGTCTGTTCTTTCCCAGCAGCCTCCTCTGCAAAAAGACTTACTTTGATACATTTTGGCTGATTTTCCAGATGGAATTCTCTTGATAGACCTGGACATGATCCCCAAACAGCATCAAATGGACTATATCTGCAATGCCAACCAAGTCCACCTGCAATCACAACAAAGGTCAGAAAGTTCAAATTCTGTCAGCTCCTGCAGTCACCTGCAAATTTCTACTGTTGGTGCTTTTGTGCACGTAAGTCTGAATTGGTCTTTGCATCAGAATTTTCCAGAGATTGGCGAAGCAAGCAACACTCTGGTCTTATTGCATGATCCTAAATAAAGACAGGCGTCACAGGCACTGAACAGCACTACTTAAGGTCCCTTCACTTAAAGGCCAAAAACTTAATCAGAGGAAAATTTATCTTTATTTAGTACTTTTTGATCAGAGATTTCCACAAAATTTGCAAAATATAACTTAGGAAAATAGGGATTTTGTAAAGGAAACACAGAAACTAAGATGGCCTGCTATATAGATACACACCTGATAAGGAAGGGAACTTTTTGCCAGAAGCTGTTTCCCATGAGGGGTCTGGGTTATTGGAAGGCTGTTGGGCAAACCTACTCCAGGCTGTAACCTCAGATCTAGGCTGTGAGAGAAATCCACCATCTTCAGAGCTCTTGTCGTCTCCTCACTATTAAATGGATCATAGATCCTGAGCAGAGGAAGCAAATGAAGCATAAGACAATGCAACATACTTAACATTTGCTTTAGTGAAATTTAAAAGCATAGTGTCTTAGCTATGTCAATGCTCCCCTCTGATGGTTAGCTGAAGAACTACTGCTGAAAGGACTGCCCCTGGATGGGAACCAGCTGCCAGCCTGAGTCCTAGATGTGATACTGGTAACTCCAGAGTAACAACTGGAAACACCAGAGGGCTAAAGGTGACCCTGTTTTGATATCTGTCACAGTTATCTGAGACACAGCTGGTGGAATGGGAAAACAGCACCATGTTTAGCACTTGTCCCTCTCCTTCAAGGTCTCAGAAATACTTTATACAAGAAATAATTAAGCTTCATAATACTTCATAGTAAATCTTTCCTAGTCTGCACACTAGGCAGACAAACAAGGCAGTTAGGGAGGATCTGTATAAATGGTAGTGTACTGCCAAGCCAGCAATGCAAACAGATCACACTTCTAACTATTGTTCTTGTATATTCTTACATTATACTTCTATGCTATGAGCATATTTTGTAATGGATACTGTGCACTTGTCCTAGGATAGTTTTTGCATTTAAAAAAAACCCCACACCCACTGTCCTAACTTTTTGGCAGTTTAGTTTGCTTTCTATTGACCATAGAGAAATCCAGCAGGAGATACCCAAGTCCACCAAGTCACTGTTAGATCAGTGACTTCCAAAATAGGAAGTGTGCAGCCTAAGGGATATGCAAGGCCATTGGGGTGTGTGAAGAAAGTAATAGAGCTTCAGTAGTACATGTATGTAGTTTGTAAACAAATTATAGAAAGAAAATAATTATAAATCAATTATAAATAAAATTCCAGTACCAATTAGCTGTGCAGTACAGCAGTAAAGTGGAAACTTGAGAACACAGGCAATAGCAAAAATATTTTGTTTCAGTTCTACAACATCATTGTATACTATTTCTACAGAAATAAATTAACTAAAGGTTCATTCCTAAACAAAGTGTTTTCATTCTGTTCAGAATACACTGTAGCCTGAAAAAACTGGACTGCAGTATCAGTACCCCAGCTAGAAGGGAGAAATTACAAAAGCACAAGAGCTGTAGCTGAAACTGAGAGTTACAGATCCTCCCATATTCATACAATAGACAGACCTGTCTCCCAGAAAGAACGCCTCTGGACTCAGATCTCCGTGGACAATCTCTGCTTTGTGGAGCTTCTCTACCACACTCAGAATGTCATAAACAAACAGTAGGAGAACTTCCTCTGTAATGGACTTGTAGCCACGAATAACATCCTGGAAACAGGGAACAAACACGTATCTGTGCCATTCTAGCTTAGATTAAGTGAAATACTTATAGCTCACCTTTTTCCCCTACTCATCTGTTCAGAGATAACAGCCCCACCCTGAATTCATTATAATCAGATTTTCCCCATGATCAGCCCATACAGAATTAAAAGAACGATGAGCTCTTAGGAGACACTATTATTCAGAAGTAGACAAAAGGTCAAGAGGAAGAAATTGAACTGAAGACTGAAATCACCATTAATTTGTCTCCTATTTATATGCAGCAATTCAAAATGCATTTTCAAGACTATTTAAAATGTAAATCCTTCAGCAAGACAGTAAATGTGATGACCTTGCTGTAGCAGACTGTTGCAGGCTGTTTTAATAAACAATGGATATGTGAGCAATCCTGTTTTTACTGATAGAACACCTGGGCCTCGACGACCAAGGACTCTCTCATGAGAGCCAGTTGATAAAAAGCGAGCTAACGAAGTACTCATCCGAACGTGCCAGAAGAGGAGATGGGGTGGAGAGTCCTGATTGAGCCTGGGCCAAGGAGCCAGTCACTGTTCAGACCGCGGCAGGCTCTAGTACAACTGACCAATCATAAGTGCAACCCTGGACATGTAATATTTGGGCTAAGGGTATATAAGTGCCTGTAATTTCTAATAAAGTTGGAGTTTGCTCTATCAATCATATTGATTGTCTCGCATTCTTCCCTCGCTGGAATACACCTCCACCAGCCGGCCAGGCACACCGACAGCAGACTGGAAGACTGGAACTGATTGAAAGATGCTAAGTTAAACAAGATTTTTTAGATGCAAATAGTTGCAGAATAAGATGTGGTTCTTGTCTCAGGTCATTTATCACTCATGAATAAAGAAAATTTGAAAAAATATTTCAAGTTTGCCTTGAAAGAGAAGCACATGATGGGAAAGCAGCTCTAAGGCTGCAACAGACAGTCCTGATTTGCATATAGATAAAACAAAGAGAGGTTCTAGATTGCAGGACTAAACATGTGAAGGAATCTTCATCAATGAGCACAGTGACAAGAACTCACTAATGGCACTTCTGCAAGAGTTCATATCTTCCACAAGTGTGCTTGGTGTGTCTGTACTGACCCCAAGCGTGAAGCGGTTGATATCCCTGTGCAGAAGAGCACAGCCATTGTGATACAGGAAACAGCTGCAGTTCTCACTGAAGCTCTGGTCAAAGTCAGCATCCAAACGCTCCTGCAACTGCAGTAGGATATAAAAATCCCAAGGCACAGGCTGAGAATATACCTACAAGAAGGTACAGAAAAACAACATTTATTTTTGGAGTAAAGCAAAAATTGCTCATCATATTCTTCTCATCCTCTTTTTTTTCCTCCCCACTTTACCAAGGAAGACATTTTCCAGTCAGAAAATTTTAAATCTATATAGAAAATTAATAGGAAGCTACACAGAATTCAGAAAAGATTAAACTTAGCACATTTTAATTTATATTGGCCAAGGAGATTTAAACATTTCACCCTTCTTGTACAAAGCCCACTGTATACATTACCTTAATTGCAAACCCCTTTGCATCCAGCTGGAGAAAGTCAGGTGGAATGGCAAACAACATCTTGCATTCTTCATTGGTCCAATATTCCCATTTGATAGAGTAAGTCTCATTTCCTGTTATGGAAGGTTACATTCATGAGGTGTCACTGCAAATACGTACCCAGGCTGTTCAAGTTATCCCCCATCTATGCCACAGAAAACTAGTCAGGGTGAGTATGAACGTTATTTCCTACCAATCAGAACATACACAGACCCCTGACACTCCTGGGGGTGGACACACTTACCCAGCTCCACATCTTTCTCCAACTCCAGGCCAGGCAGAGCCCCAGTCTCCACGTGCAGATTTGGAGCAGCACTCAGTGATTCTGGCAGAGGGTCCAAAAGCTTCTTGCGCTGTTCAGCGCCCCACAAGGACTGGACTACATCATCACCTGGGCAGATGGGTAATAGAAACTGATGAGCTGAGACTGGGTGTTGAATCTGTGTGATTTGATTAGATCTGTCAAGAAAAGTAACTTGGATATTGGAAGCTCTCTATCTGCATATTGATTTACTGCATCACCTCTCAGCAAGTCAATTTATCACTCCACAGCTTCTTCCAGTGTGAACACAACACCCATCTTTGAAACTACCTTACAGACCATCTCATCACGAGACCTCAATAATTCTACTGCAGGGCCACCTAGAATGTATCTTTCACAAGAGCCAGAGCTCTAAATTTGATAGATATGCCTGCTCAGCCACAGCACAATTCAAACTCATTTTGCAAATTAACACTCCTTTTTAAAAGTTACATCCAGAGTAAATGGTCACTTCACGATAATTTAATGAAGGGTTTTATTAAAACTCACTCCTTTGAATACAGGAGGGGTTTTATGTAAGAAAAGGAGGACAAAGTTGGGACTTCAGCTCTGCTGTCCACTGCAATATTAAGAGTTGAATGGCTTTTACCTCTTGGAAGGCACATAAGATAATGACATAATAAAGATAATGGTCTCGGTTTACTTTCCTACATAATAGAACAGAGAGAAAAATCATTCAGTTGATGAATTAGTTTATCTGTACAAAACCCAGGTAGCCTGAAAAGTTGATATCAAATGATCAAGCAGAGTAAAACACAGCAGAACTAGATTGTTTCTATGGTCTTCCTCTCCCAAAGACTACGACTAGTAATAGGTGACAACATTTTAAGCTTTCACACCACATTAAGCTTCCATAGACCATTCATGTTCTAACCATAAAGATTTAGAATAAAGAAAAACAAAGGTCTTTGGCTAGAAAAAAAATAATAAATTACATTAACTATTTAAGGACCAGTATTGTTTTCATTCAATAAGAAAAAATACATTGTCAAGGAGCACTATATTTTACAGCAAATAGAGCAAATTTAAAACCAAAATTGTGCAACTTTCACTAGATTTTCACTGTGACACTGAGCAGCACATTGGGAGAACACACAGGGTGATTACAGAGAAAAAAATCAAATGAAAACAAAGCTGTCTTAGAAGTTCTCACTACAAACTATCCAGTCCAAATTTTTTAACTTCAGACTTGGACCCCATGACTCCTACACACTTCCTGCTTTAATACCTGAAATAACTTTTATGTCACCTTAGTACTAACATATTTTGGATGCTGGCAAGCATGCTGTAAAATGTGTGCCTCACTACTGCTTCTGGGAAGGTAGACAACTTCAGTCACAAGTCAAAGCAATGGGAAATACACAAAAAGGATCGTAGAATATAGGAAGCAAAGAAAAAGCACCACAGTTTAGAGGCAGCTGAAGTTAGTTGTTGTGAGTGAAAGTTCAGTACTAACCAGTAATGCTTTCACTGATACCTCCAGAATCAGGTCCAGCAGGCAAGGTCTGAGCAAGTTCCAGTTTCTCAGGGATATGCAGGTATTTAATGGTAGATATTTGTGTAACAGAGGAAAGAGAAGATCCTGAGGGGACAGAACCGGCTGACGAGCGAGTGTCTTCCAGGCTTGCTTCCATGATGGGGCTGTAAATGAAGCCATCAACTATTGATACCTTCATAAGATACAGTGTCTAGATAAAGCCAGCCCAATGACTATGAGAGGATACTGTGTACTCCCAGGCTTCCTTATGTTAAAGAAGCCCTTTCTCATCCTTAGTGGAAGACCAGTAGGTTATTGTCAGAGCTTCATTTTAGCTTCACTGATTGTTTATACTCAAAAATCTTAGTCTACAGATTAATTTCATCTTATCTTCTATTAAATGACTGCTACAAGAGAAGACATATTTTATGTTTATCACTCCCTTAGCTACAAAAATTGAGAGCTACAGTGCTTTGAAAGCACTGTAGGGGTGGGTGGGAAATAACTCCTGCTCTTCCTTCTTATTATAATCAGCATGATTTCCCAGGGAACTTGCCAAGCAAACACACACCTTCAGCATGGTATACATGTTTACATACCAACAGCTGGCAAATCAATTCAGTTCTAAATTAAAAAAACAACAAATGCTTTTTTTATTTACAATGATAAGAAACAGGAGGCTGTTTGCCAGTTTTTTCCTTCCCTCCAGCTTTTTTCCTCTGTAGGAGAAATCTAAGCCATAATCACCAGATGCACTTTGTTTACTAAAATAACTATAGAAGCATGAGTACAAAAGGAACTGAGGATTGTAGTTTTCATTTCTGGTAACAAAACCAGAACATGTTTCTTGATTTCCTTGCGAGTTATTTGGTAGAAAAAGCATAAGGCCCCATAGCAGTAGTGCTGAAAAGTCAAGTGGATTTGCTATTACCTCTGAAGTCTGCTCAAGATAAAATGGACCCTAAGCTAGAAAAATGTCTGTCTGCAGTATAGTCTGATGCCTTCAAAAAACTGTTTCTTCAGCAATGGAACAGTAGAACCATAACCAAGGAAAGACACGCAGAAAAAGGGGCATAAGGTGCTTTGCTGTTAGTTACCTCAGCTTGTTTACACACAGAGCTTCACTGTAGGCACCCTCACCAACCAGCGTTTCCTGACTCAGAGGTGCCCTCTTTGATTCTGGGCAGTCGTCCTTCAGGACACCCTGTGGAAAAGCAGGAGCTGGGACTCTCTGAACTGCTACTCCATGAAAGGGTGTTGAGGCCAGATGGGCAGCCTTAACAAAGTCACACGTGTCTTCTGGGTTGGCACAAAGGGTTATGTTCTTGTAGGAGCCTGTCACAATTGCATCTTCAGTCAAAGGTTCAATTCCATTCATCCTGAAAAAAATAGGAAGCCTATAGATTTTGTCTTTTTTTTTTTTTTTTTTTCATTTATTTAAAAGCTGAATATTTATCTCTCTCCTTTCTTAACTCTGAGAAGTATTTGATATCATAGCTGTACACAGAGTCCTTCCCAGCTCAGAATAAAACCCTCTCACTCAGCCAGTCTAAAGGTCTATTGTGACATGAAGTAGCCAATTGCTTTGGTGAGCCAAGAACTGCCACCTCTGTGGAAAGCTTTACAAACATCTGCAAAACTGCCACAAAGACAGCTTAGCAAACACGATACAAAGGTTTAAGGGAGTCAGGTGTATGGTACTTTGGGTGAGGAACACAGGAGCCAAAATGCTTTTTTGGATGCATGGCAAGAAAGTGGATGGAGCAGGAGGCAGCATTTCAGAGCACAGCTCTTCAGCACACAAACTTTTTAAAGGTTCACCATGAGTAATCCTGGCCACTCATCAGTTGCTTAAAATTGAGGAGATTCCTTACCATTGTCTTTGTATTGGCACCCTTAAAGGCTAATAAAAACATGATTATTTCCAGTGTAATCTGAACATCACCCAATTCAAGTATCCTGGACATAAGTTTAGGCTCTCTATCACACAGCATGTCAATCCAGACATCTCACTCAGTTCATCAGCAGGCCATTCTGTGCTGGCTTCTCCTTGACAGGGAATCTGCTGTGGGGTAAACTGTTTCCTTACACAGGCTTCTGGTGGGATGTTTTCCTTGGCAGTTAGGGAATCGGAAGGTTTACGAACAGCAAGAGGCCGCCGGGCACTTTTCTGTGTACGATCTGCAGAACAACTAAGATAAAGTGACATTTCACTAAGTATTTATTTGAGTAGCTTCCAATCTTCAACAGAGAATCCTCTCCAGGGTCAAAGTCTACTGACAATTTCCATCTACCAGTTTCTACTACAGAACTAGCAGTAAAGTGCCATATATACAGCTCTTCAGAATGAAGACCACGTCTAAAACAGCTTAAATAGATCTAGAGTGAGGAGGGACAAGAGGACAGTATTTTCTCATCATGAACTTCGTAGAATCATAGAGTGGTTTAGGTTGGAAGGGACCTTAAAGGTCATCTAGATCCAACTCAACTTCCCAAGTAATGCAATAAACCAAAAAATATGAATATAAACAAAACAGAAAACCACCCTCAGCTATACAAGCAGCAGCAATGTATTTCAGCTGGTACAGAAAGTGGCTTGATACTTCAGGTTTCCCTCCCCCTGAAATCTAGGTCTTTAATAACTCTACCTTGTATTCTGATTTGCCAAAGTAGAGGATTCATCAAATATGGAGAAAGATGTGGCAGGATCCGAGGGGAAAAGACCTACACCTAAAAAGAAAAATCAAGAGGCTCTATTGTATCAACAGCTTTTCCACAACAGTGTGTCCAATGCTACTTGAAATATTTAATGCCTTGAAAAACCCTGTCCTAGCAGGATGTTACAGAAGTGACATTTAAAGAAATCTATTACAAGAAGGCTTAGTTTAATCATGTTAACGAACAACACTAACCACCACATTCCCTTAGCTAGCTTGCTCTTTTTTCAGAATATACTTCAGAATTTGTACCTTTTTTCCCAAGGCTGGTCTCATCCCTCTGTTTCTCCTGTTCATCCTCCGAGTCTAAAAACACACTTCCCCTTTCTGTATCTGGGCATACAACAAGAGACTAGATAAACTCTGTCAACAGCAGCAGCAGCAGGCAACTCAGGTCAAAAGTTCATTTCTTCAGCACCCTGCCCCATCAACAAAACTAATACACAATTTCTGGTTGGATTCCTCTATCAAATCCCCTTAGGAAAAAAGGACTTAAGATAGTATCAATCTCAGTGTTACACTCTTTTACACATTTTAGTAAGACTGTATATATGAAAGTGTGAAGAAAGCTCTTTGGCTACTAAAAGAAAAATGCTCTTCTGTTTGTCCTTTCAAATATTGACAGTTCTCGGCCCCCAGGTGCTTGGTCCTTTGATGAATATGGCTAAAGGCACTTCATGCCAGCACAGCCTCATTTTCATTCTTCTAATCCGCCTAGATTTTTCATTTTAGTTTGTTGCAGTCTTGCTATTCATGCAGAAGACACTTCCCTCCAACATGGCCCTCTTAATGGCAAAAAATGAAGTACTTACCCTCAGAACAAGCAGGTTTCTCTAGCCAAGTACCTTCAGAGACCCAGGATTCACTGTGAAAAACATACAAACTTCCTTCTCATCTTTTACACACTTTCACAAAACATAACTTAACTTTGTAAAACTAGGCAAGACAAGCTGACACATGCTATTTGTAAGAAGCTGAGATCTCTCAGACAAAAAACCAAGATGGTACAAAGCCAGACTACAGCTCTTGGTTACAGGCTGCTGCCCAGGGGCATGCCCACGTTGTCTGCAGAAGCAGGCTATCTGGTAGTGATTCAGGTGGGTCAACTAGTTATCCCCACAAATTTTCTCATTCTGGCTAAGAAAATCCTGTATTACCTTCGCAACCAAGGCCGTTGCTGCCCAGCTTCTGTTGCACTGGAAAAAGTAAATACTTGGGGTCCTAAAGGTGGCAAAGGTTCTGTTCTCTCTGTTGGCTGTAAAAGCAAAATTGTATTTTTTTGTTTTACAGTGATAGAATCACAAGCCACACAAGAAGGTTCCAAGAACATTATGATAATCCTGTATAGGTGATTAGAGCCCTAATAGATTAAAGAAGACAGGAGGAGAAACTGGACCTAGGGAAGAAGTGAAGGGTTGCAAAGTGGTGCTGACTGTCTCTCGGGGGGAGAGAATCAGAAGGGTAAATTGAGAAGACTCCTGGACTGTGATAAGAAAACATACATGAAAGGAGCTTAACAAAGAGCAATTAGCCCTTAATTTTTTTGAGTAAAGGTACACCAAGTGCTTAAGTTCAACTTTAGCATAAGGTATCTTGTCCCATAATTAAAGAACAATACTTGTAACACTACAAAACTTGAAGTCTTTGATTTACAGTCCTGTAGTGAAAGGATATGGCTCGAGGAGTAGAAAAGAAATATTTCCCCCAGCACTCATTTACTGGGTGAGGCACATGTACAACTGGCTGAAGCATCCTTTCTAAAGAAAGAGTTGAAAAAATGTTAGCCTAAAAGAAACAGATTTGATATCGTTCCTCCTTTAAGACTTCGATTTAAAATAGCCATTATTTGTAAAAGAAGAGTTAAATGAGGACAATACCCGTTCACATGGTTGTTGCTGCTTGTCAGCTTTCTCCTTTAATATCTTCTCCAGCTCCTTAATTTGCCTTTGTACTTCTTCCCTCTGCTGGGCTATAGCCTGCATCTCCTCTGAGGAAGAAAAGCTTATAAGGCACAATGTATATTTCACAGGCAATCTGTGGCTAAAGCCTAGAATTACTTTTGAAGGGGCTAGAACTTCTGATCATCTTTCCCTGTTCCATGGCCTACACGTAAAGCTGTCAGATGTGTGACCTTCTCTATACCTCAGAGCAGTTAAAAAAAACCTGTCCCAGCAGAAAAAGCAGCTGCAACCACAGACAGCTGTGTGCTGCTAAGAACTAAGTGTAACTTTGTGACTCCATCTCCAAAAGTCTTATGTCATCCATTTTGAAGCATACCTTCATTTTTCTGTTTTGCTTTCTTTCTGTAGATTTCAGCTCGGATCTCTTCCAAAGAAAACTCTTCAACTCCAGCATAAACTTTATCTTTACAGTACATCACCACCTCTTTCTTTTCTTGAGTCTCCTGCTGCTGGTGCTGCACTCGCTGCAATGGATCCTCCTCTTGCTGAAGTCTGCGGGCGCTTAGCACACGGTTTATGCTGGGTTCAATTTTGCAGGGAGTCCTGAAAAAATACAGTCAGTACTTCAGTGTAACACAGGGAAAACAAAACAGGAGAAAACAGAACGTATCTGTGGAGTAGCTTAAAGACATTCTCTTCTGTTGTCAGAAAAACACCCAAGAATAA